GAGAGCAAATGTTTTGAGAATGATGAGGGCAATGAATGTACAAATGTGCTTTACACAATTGATGTATGTATGGATTGTGATGAGTCATATGAGCCCCTAATAAAGCAATTTAAAAAAAAGAAAAGATATAGCAATCTGTTTTCTTAAAGGTTGCGTGGCAGGGAACGCAGTGGGACAGTCCCCCGTTTTCTGTGAGGTCACTGGGAGTTAGATGGGCTCCATGACAATGGGCTTTCATGACGTTTTGAAATCTGGAGCAGCTCGTGAAGATTTTCGCTCTAGGAGCAGCTCGTGGCCTCAAATCTTTCAGCCAACCAAGTGCTGCACGTACACTGTCCGGAGCCCACGTGCATTCTCTAGCCTCGAGAAGCAGAACTAGACCCAGTACTCCAGTTCACACAAGACATAGAAGATCTCCATCGTTCTTTCTGTTAAGACGTTACCAGGTTATTTTTTTCTCCTTGAGTCCCCTAGTAGAGCTTAAATCATTCTTTAACTTTTATTATATATTAAAAAAAAAAAAACTAACCAAAGGTGGTTGATGTTTTAGACATTAGTCTCAAGTTTTCATTTTTTCTCTTTAGCACATATAAGCAAAAAGTGAACTCAAACTTGCTCTTCCTTATTGCACATGATATTAAGATATTTGGTTCATTATGTTACTGTGTTTTTTATATAAGGTTGGCTTTTTTCCAGAAATGAATTTAGCTTCAAGAATATGAAGCTGATGACTTACATTTCATGGAATGTGAGTGATCAGTTGGAAGCAACTTACTGTTTCTTTTCTTTAATCTTATTTTCCTTGTTTTTGCCTTTCTTTTCATTATAATGCTTTATAACTTGGAACAAAAATACAGCAAGTTCTGAAGAGGTATTTAATTCAGGGAAAAAGGAGGAATTATATATATATGTATATATATATATAAATTAATTAATTCTGAGTTGCATTCTTTTAAGTATTTTTGTTCTGAAAATTATGGTAATGAGGTTTTATTCTTAGTTGTATAAACTTTTACCTTTAAATCAGAGATGAATAGGCATGGAGTGTGTGAGTGTGTATTAAGATTAAGATCACATTACAGTTTTTAGTCTATGTGTTACTTTGCTCTTAAATACTAATTATTTTACTTTATTTTATTTTATTACAAGATGCCCCAGAAGCTTAGTAACCATAACCTAAAAATGTATAGTTCAGAATAAAATGTACAAGACACGTTAGTGTATCTATTGGAGAGGACATAAATTAAACTAAACCTGTCCTGGTGAGAATTGAGCTACTAACTTCAAGGTTCAAGGTTCAAATCTACCAACTGCCCTTAGGA